CATTTCTGTTAATGTATAATGTATTCCTTGTGCTTGTGGGACGATAGCTTTGTCTTTATGATGCATATAAGCAGTCTGATTAATGATTGTAAGTAGACTAGCTTGGCATCTGGCTGCATGTCATCGGCATCCTACGAGATGTTATATCCAAAGTGTAATAGAGATATGATAACTCAAATAAGGTTATGAGACTTGATGTCTTGGTTTCATGTTTAGTCTTGTGTCAGTGGGCTTGGGACATTGAGTCGATTGGTTTCTTATATACTTGCATTTGAATATGATGCAATAGCTTTCATGTTTTGAGTCAAACTTCTTATGCTGTATGATATCTGGATTGATCATATGTTGTCTACAGATCAGCATGTTTATCCGGGCTTCTGGAATTAATATTTTATTAAAGAGCTTTCTGCTATTTCCTTTACTGAAGATTTAATAAAAACATGATGATCCTTTTTCCCCCTTTCCATTACAGATAGAATGAATAAATGTGTTCCAAATTCTTTTCATGATGTCGCTGTTCAGTCTGTTGACTCGAAGTTTCAGACAGGAGACTGGAGTAACCAAATGGTGGAAGATACTGTAGAATGGGGAGAGACTTCTGCTCTTGGTCTATTGGCTTCAACTTATGGAAATTCATCTGATTCTGAAGAAGATCATGCTGAACCAGATGCTACCGTCTTTCGTGATGCAACAAAGATACACTCTGCAAATGTTTCCCCTGTAAGGAAATTTCAGTGTAATGATTCTGGTTTATCTCCTGATGATCCAAACAAGAGTCACAATCCCTCATTAACAACAGTGGATTCTGAGGAGGAAGCTCCTCTCCATGTTAGTCATTGCTTTTCCAAACTTGGATCTGAAAGAGTTGACGTCAAGAATCAGAGCCCTCAAACATTTGATCCTTCTGTCGAGTTTAAAACTGATCTTATTTCAGGAAGATCCAATGGTTTGGAGGACAAGTTTAAAGATCAAAGCACAGCATCACATGCCAATCCAAGTTATTCTCCAGCCACTCACAGCACAGAGAAAATGAGGTTTAGCAAGGCTGTAGCAATGAGGAATGCTGATATTCCATTTGTTCAAAGATCGGATGAAGATTCTTCTCAAATGCATGTCTTCTGTCTCGAGCATGCTGTAGAAGTGGAACATCAACTTCGCCAAATAGGAGGAGTGCATGTATTTCTCCTTTGTCATCCAGGTATATTTTGGTATGCAATATAAGCAAATCAATATTTTTCGGATCAGTTCACACTTCGCTTCCTCACCCTTTCCTAAAAGGGAGAAAATTAATAAAATAAAAATTCTGGAGATACTACATTCCGGGAATTAATCTGCATTTCCTTGAGTTTCTATATCATATGCAACCCTCTTTTCTGGACGTCACTATGTGTAAATATGTCGAGTAGGTAATAGTAAATACGGATCCATTCTTTTATGTTGAGATTATCGATACACATGGAAGGGAATCATAAAAGGTTTGATCTCTATTTTATAATCAATGCGAGGCGCCATGCACCAGGCAACTTGTACTTTGACTTGCTTCTTCAAATTTCAACCTTTTTTTCTGGGCCTGGAAAAAGTCTCATGTTACAGATTATTATTATGTGCATGTTTTGCATATACCTAATTAACATTTCTAGCAATTAATTATTTTAGGTTCTTTCTTTCCTGTCGATTACAAGAATTATGTATGAAACGATGCAGAGTACCCGAAAATAGAAGCAGAAGCAAAGTTGGTGGCTGAAGAACTTGGAATTGATCATCCCTGGAATGACATCTTATATGGGGATGCTACTAAAGATGATGAAGAACAGATCCAGTCTGCTCTTGACAGTGAGGATGCTATACCTGGGAATGGGGACTGGGCAGTAAAGCTCGGTATAAACCTATTTTATAGTGCCAATCTTAGCCGTTCTACACTATACAGTAAGCAGATGCCATACAGTTGTGTTATATACACTGCGTTTGGCCGTTGTTCTGCTTCTAACTCCCCGATGAAGTTGAACGTGTATGGGAGGAGGTCCAGCAGATCGAGAAAAGTACTGGCTGGAAAATGGTGTGGTAAAGTTTGGATGTCGAATCAGGTACATCCATTTTTAGCACAAAGGGATCCTGAGTACCAAGAGCAAGAAAGAAACTTTTATGCTTCAGCAACTTCGGATGAAAATGTTGAGAGGAAACTGGAAAATGTCCGGAAAGCTAAAACAGCAAAGGTGGTTAATAGGAAGAGAAAAAAGAGGGAGGAGATTGCAGCTAACAAGAAAGTGAAAGGCATTGAGCTGCAGGGTGCAGTATCTGATGATTCGTTGGATGGTGGTTCTCTTAGGCAGCAACGGGTAGTTTTTAGAGGCAAGAAACCTAGACTGGTCAAAAAACGAGAGGCAATTTCATGTGATTTGCTCGAAGATAATTCTCTGCTGCGGCAATGGAATCTCTCGAGGAAAAGGGGCGTAAAATTTGTTGGAAGAGATGACGCAGAATCAGAGGATGTTGAAGAGGATTCTACCCATCTGCAGCAACAGAGCAATTTCAGAGGCAAACATGGCAAGTTTATTGAAGAAGATGAAGTTTCCGGAGACTCACTCGTTGAAAGTTCTCTTAAGCGGCCTAAGAGAGTTCCTAGAAGCTGGCGGGACGAATTTTCGGATGGAGAAACTGATGTGTTTGATGATGAACAAGAAGAAATTTCTCATTCGCAGCATCGGAGGATTCCAAGAGGCAAGCAAATGAAGTCACGCAAGAGGAATGCGACAGTCTCAGATGATTCACGAGCAGATAATTCCCTTAAGCTGTATAGAAGAACGCGTAAAGACAAACAAAGAAAGTTTCTTGAGAGTGATGATGCAATGTCAGATGATGATTCTTCGGATGACGATGCCCAGAATCAGCTTAGGAGGATTCCAAGAGGCAAGCAAATGAAGTTCATGGAAAGAGATGATGTGTTTTCAGACGATTCAGTCGAGGATAATCCTAAACTGAAGCATCGGAGGGTTCCTAGTAGCAAAGCAGCCAAATTTAGTAGTAGGAGGAGCTGTAGAAGAAAGATAACCGGGCTTGATGCAGTTTCATCTGATTCTCCAGATGATAGTCCTCTTCGGCAGCCTCGGAGGATTCCGAGAAGTAAGCAAACTGAAATTCTTGGGAGGGAAAATGCTGTTTCATCTGATTCTCCGGATGACAGGTCTCTTCAGCAGCCTCAGAGAATTCCGAGAAATAAGCAAACCAAGATTGCCGAGATGGAAGATGCAGTTTCATCTGATTCTCCGGATGACAGTTCTCTTCAGCAACATCAGAGAATTCCGAGAAGCAAGCAAACCAAGATTGTTGAGAGGGAAGATGAAGTTTCAGATGATTCGTCGGATGATACTTCTCATCCATCAAATAAGAATCTTAGAAGCGGAAAAAGGAAAGCCGCAACACCACGAAAAGTAAAACAAGTAAATCCACGGAATGTCAAACAAGTGAAACGTCGTCAACAAAACAAGTAGTCTCTCAGCAAGTGAAACAAAAGACTACTCGAAATCGGAGCACCAAAATTAAGCATAGTGCTAGACAGTGTGATTCATCTGATGAAGATGAGACTGAAGGTGGACCGCGCACACGCCTAAGGAAAAGAAGCCGAAAGCCTCTGAAAGATCTGGAAACAAAACCGAAAGAGAAGAAGCAATCCATTCAGAAGAAAGTGGAGAATACTTCAAATTCGAAAACTCAAGCTGGTCACAATGCTGCAAAAGTAAGAAATGAAGAAACTGAATATCAGTGTGACATCGAAGGCTGCTCGATGAGTTTCGGCTCAAAACAAGCGCTGCTCGTGCACAAAAGAAACATTTGTCCCGTCAAAGGGTGCGGGAAGAAGTTCTTCTCACACAAATATCTGGTTCAGCATCGTCGGGTTCATTTAGATGACCGGCCTCTTAAATGTCCATGGAAGGGCTGCAAAATGACATTCAAGTGGGCATGGGCTCGAACCGAACATATTAGGGTTCACACAGGTGCTCGTCCTTATGTATGCGCTGAGGAAGGCTGCGGCCAGACATTTCGTTTCGTGTCGGATTTCAGTCGTCACAAGCGGAAGACGGGGCACTTAGGAAAGAAAGGTAGAGTGTAATTTTAACATTTTAATGAAACCTGTAATCAATTGGAAAACGAGGGTTAGGATTTCACCATTGTTGTGATTCAGAAAATTGTTGATTATGTTTTATCCTGGGATTTCGTTAACCCCATTCATTTACTTGCAATCAGAGCTATTGGTTGGATCTTGAATCATTTACTCCTTTTATTGCCGTCGATGTTGCACCGTTTATTTCATCATCATATATATATGAACATGAAAAGACTTTTGTCGATCGGAACATAAAGGAAAGCTTTGCCGATGAGACTAAGGGTTTCGATGTGGGGAAAGTTCTAATGGAGAAGGCTTCTCCCTTCCGAAGGGAGGGGGTCCTGATCACCAACGAAATTTCAAGGATAGCAAGGATCTTCAACAAAGATTTAAACAACAGAGGGTATGCCACAAGGACCGTCTAAGGAAGTAGATCATTGTCATAATATTAAATTGTGGCTGCGGCTGTAATGTAGCATAATGACTGCTTCGTAATATTTTTTTAAGGTCATTGCAATATTGCAATTTAATACTACAATCATCATCTCGTTGGGACAATTATGTTTATCGTGAAAAATGACGATTCTAATTAGAGAGGAGATCAGAGCAGAGCATCAAAAGTGACGAGAAAGAGCCGCAAAGGCTTATTGGAGTGACCGAATAGCCATGCCATCGAAGTCCCATCATCCACCTTCGTCACCACTTGTCGAAAATTGGAAAAAGAAAACAGGAAAGAAAGAGAAGAAAAACTGGCCAGGTCAGTAAGTTTTCACACCAAACAGTAGGAGGGGAAGGAAAGGTCGAGTTATGTCCACCGTCCGGCGATATTGGAGCCATCGGAAAGAGAGAAAACAAAGTTTTTTTTTCCTTTTTTGGTTATCAATCTAATTAATAATAAACGAAGCTTCTTTTATATGACAAACTACCAGTACTAATATAAGATATTACAACACAATTTTCCTGCAAAAAGCAATATGTATACATATGAATTTTCACAAGAAAATTGCTTCATCATAAACAAAACGCTGACCATCTTTTCCCTCTACAAATTCAAATGATTTCAACCCCATTTGATGCAGCAGCCGACACTTGATTCTGTTCTTTCATCACCATTCTCCTCATCTTATTCAACCATCTGATAAACCCCAACATCAAATCATATAAACTAAGAGCAAAATATACCCCAATGCCACCAATGATACCATTTGCTATAGAATATGTCAATGGCATGATCAACATTGTAACAAATGCTGGCACTGCCGCTTTCATGTTCCCCCAATCAATATCTTTCACCACTTTCATCATCATCACCCCAACCATCACCAAAGAAGGTCCAATCGCCCACGGCGGCACACTCGTCAACAACGGCGTGAAAAACATCGACAAGAAGAAATACGAACCGATAATGACGCCAGTTAATCCGGTCCGACCGCCTTCTCTTATACCGGCTGATGATTCGACGTAAGTGGCTACCGGAGAGACCCCTAATGCGGATCCAATAATTGTTGAACTAGCATCAACTATGTATGCTAGATATTCACCTTCAAAACTCCCTTTGTCATCCAAGAAACCCCCGATTTCGGCCATTGTGTATAAAGTTTCGGTCGTGGCGAGCACATCGACATACAACAATGTCCCTAATGCAACCCAAACTTCGGATCGATTGAAGTGGCGGAAACTGATCACGCCGGCAGTGGACTGTATTGTATGAAAATCAACAACTTTTTTGAAGTAGTTGTAGTTTGTGTCACCAAGTGGAGTTTCAGGGAAAACTGTGAAGGAAGTACCTCTAATCCAAGAAACTAATGTAACAAATGAAATACCATATATCATACCTCCTTTAACATCCTTCATTAGCCCATAACAAGTCATCAGGAACCCAACCATGGCTAACCAGAACGTGGGGCTCTTCACTTTGCCCCCTAAACAAGTGCCAGAACCAGGGTCTAGTTCAGCACAAGCCGAGACGGTGACCAATGTGGTTGGGTCAGGTCCAACAAGGCCAACACCTTGGTGTACTTGTAACCCCACGAATGCAATGAACAGCCCGATGCCTGCACCACAGGCTAGCCTGACTGGCTGAGGTATGAGCCTGGCTAGCCTGGCTCGAACCCCTGTTGCTGATATTGCAAGAAAAACACAGCCTTCAACCAGAATCACTGCCATGGCGGTTCGGTATGATATGGACCCTGATCCATGGAACCCCACCAGGTTATAAGCCAAGTAAGCATTAGGTCCCATCCCAGGGGCTAATCCCAATGGAAGATTGGCCAAAACCCCCATTGCAAAAGAACCCACCATGGCTGATAAAACAGTGGCAACAACGAGATCATTCTTGGTTTTCGAAACACAGTTTTCATACCCTATGTTGGGCTTCAACATGCAATCCAGTGAAGCATTTTGGTTCGCCGGAGCCGTACAGTCAGCCACAGAACATGTGCCGCCGGAGTCGGCGATGATGGTGGCGTTGACGGTGATGATATAGGCCATTGTTAGGAAAGTTGCAGTGCCAGCTCGTAGCTCCTTGGTGAAACAAGTCTTCCTTGCTTCGAGCTTGAAGAACTTGCCAACTTTGCTCTTTGAAACTGCATCGTTGACACTCATTTCCATCTTCCTCCATGAATTTGAGAGCTTTTTCAATGCCCCACACCTCATTTTCCCGCAGATTTCACCTCCCATTTCTCTGTTGGAATTTAGATTTCTCTCCGTAATAATATCAAATAAATTGCTAGATTTTATAAGGCATTTGAATGTCCTTGGGTGGCCATATATATATATATATATATATATATATATATATAATAAATCATTATTTTTTAAATAATATGTAGTGATTATAAGATAATATATGTTTAGTATTTTCTTAATCTATTGATAACATACATACATCCTATAGATATCGCTGCTCGAATTCTGAACATTTAAATAGATCAACATTCACTTAATGGTTAATACTCAAATCAAATTATTTCATGAACTTAATTGTCAGTTCAAAGTGTTTAATGTTAATTCGAATATAAAGCAAAGTATATTTGCAAGTCTCCGAGATAAACCCGTTAAAATTACGAGGATTGATGTTTAGGATCCAATTTAAATTGGGTAAAGTACATTAAATGCCATTGAACTTTGTTGAAATAATCATTTTGATCACTAAATTTTAGAAATTGTAAAATGACCACCACAACGTTACAAATTGGATATTAAATTCATTGAAATGTTATAAAGTAATTAAATTTTATCAAACTGTTATAAATTGACCTTTAAAATTATCAAACTTTATTATTATTATTAGTAGCATAACATCACGGTGACTGTTTTATAATCATTCAAAAACTTTAATAACTATTTTGTAATTTCAAAACATTTAGTGACCAAAATGATAATTTTAAAATAGCTCAGTGTACTCTAGTGTACTTTACCAATCAAGTTATAGTTTAGTGACTTATATTGCAATTAGCCCATATATTTGACAAATTAGGTATTTGACAAACCCCAATCCCAATTGCTAATAATCTAAGCCTAATCATATACTTATGTATCGACAAATTGGATATTTGACAAATCCCCAAAGCTAATTGCTAATAACCTAAGCCTAATCATATATTCTATTGGTTAAGAAATTAGGATTAGGGTTAGGGTTTGAAATAAAGTTGACTGCTTTGTCATTGTGGTCCCAATGCCTATGAAAAGTAATAATAAGAACAGAATTCCAGGCCATTTGTTAAGCTTTGAGAGCAACTTTCCCCCTCACAATTTTTAATATAATCAAAGCCAAATTTCAATACAAAAAATCTTTGATCAAATCTTATAATTAGGAGTGGTTGTTTGATAAGTTGTGTGTATCTATACAATTTACGTGAGTTTATACTTTACTATGGATAGAAGGGTGTTGGAAACTAATGTAAATTTTTAAATTTTTAGGATGTTCGAGAAATTTTAAATTTTTAAGAAGAACGAAGAAGGTGTCGGGGGCAGTTATATCTCTTGAAAAGTTTAAGTTTTCATGATGGACCGACCAAGTGGATGTTGGGAATTTTAATTTTTCATATAATTTAGATATTTTTGGAATTCCTAATTTTTTATGTAACTTCATAAAAGTTTATACTTGTAACATAAAATCGAATGTATGTACCCATAACAAAAATCAAACCCTTACCATTGGTTGAGGTATGTATGAGCCCTTATCATCTCACTTGGGTTCTAGCTGTTGCGTCTGTAGGGTGTATGTTGTCAATAAGTTAAGAAAATTCTAAATATATATATATTACTTTATATTTATCCCATATTGTTTAAAACTAAATAATTAAGATTATTTTGATTATTGTAATGTCTATTTTATAAATTTTTATCTAATATTGAAGTCTTATATATTTACAGTAGTAGGTCGAAAATTCCAAATCCAAAATCTTTGAATGATCGCTAGAATCAATTTTATAATCCAAACTACAAAACAAAAGTCGTCAGGATCCTCGGGCCAAATTAGTAGAATTTGCAAGTTTAATACTAAAAGGAAAAAATAAAAATGCCTTATAATATACGAATTTAACCAATTTTTTTTAGATTTGCCAAAATGACAAACAAATTCGCAACCCAGTTTCCAATTTCGCAACGCGATAGTCAAATTCGGAACACGAAAGTCAAATTCGCAACTGAATTTCAAATTCGCAACAGGTTTTAGTTTCGCAACACAAATGTTTTTTGGTATATAACAACGCAGCAGCAACAACTCATAACCTAAATCCCTAAATCGCAATTCATTCCATTTCCATCTATCACTCTCTCCGGCGACATCCGTTCCTATATCCAACGACATCCTTCCCCATCTCTATTTTTTTTACATAATTTAATTTCTATATAATTTTTCAATGATTTCTCTCCCAAATTATCAACTATCAACTTAATAAAGGTATGTTTTTGTCTAAGTTAGTGATGATATCTAGTTTATAGCTCGTTTGTTTAGTAAATTAATTTACAATTTTTAGAATGAAATCATCTAATGTTGATCATGTTTGGATAGATTTGTGTTTTGGAGGGTCATGGGAGAATGTTCATGGTGTTTTACAATATGTGCCTTTACCCATGAATCTTCAACTAAAACTGTCATTAAAAAAGTTAACTTATGAAACTCTAATGTTACGTGTTGCAAAGAAATTGAATTTAGAGCCTCTAAGTGGATTTAGGCTATCTTATCTGAGAAAAGATAAAGTTTATTTGTTAACCGACAATGAAGATGTTGAACGATTCATTGCTTACATTAGTGTTCGCAAGAAGATGATGTTACATTGTATGTTGTTGAACCTAGAAGTAGTGAAGTTGGGTCAGTAGCGGGTAGTAATCAACTAAGTTCTTCAACCCAAAATTTAATGGTTCCACCACAATTTCATCACCAAGAAAATTTTGTTTCACCACATTTCCAATACCAAACACAATATCAAACACAATCTCAAAGCCCACATCCTTTTCCTAATCCAAATCCCAATCAACTTTCAGCACCAAATTCCAGTTTTCGTATTGACCAGTTAGACGATTATGAGCCAACAGAAAAAATTGTGAGTACTAGTCAGTATTTGAAATTTGATCTTGGTCAATACTCAGATTTTGATGATGTGATGGAAGAAGAAACAGACCCTGCATGTAATGATTTTGATATTGGTCAATACCCGAATTTTGATGATGAAACAGCCGCTGTCGAGGAAGATGTTGTTGATGATAATGAGGAGGAAGTTACGACTGTGAATGAACATGTTGAACATCCATTCTGTAATTCATATAACCCTGAAGAAGAAAAAGAAGAAGAAGAAGAAGTCCTCGAAGAAAGGAAAAAGAAGAAAATGTCACGGGAGTATAACTGGAATATGCCAGAATTACTTCAGATACCGGAAGAAGAGTTGGTAAAGATATCAGTTGATTGTTACACAAAAGTTATTCGTATCAAGAAAGATGATTGTTTTGATACAAAGGAAGACTTGAAGATAGCTTTGTATACGAAATGTGTGGAAGATGGCTATCAACTAAGAGTTAACAAATCAAGCAAAGATAGTTTCGAAACAAGGTGTATGATTGACAAAAACGGTACGTGGCGTATGATTTCAAAGAGGATAAAAGATTGCGAAATGTTTCAAGTTAGGACTTTTATTGATAAACATACATGTTCAAGAACCCAAGTTTTTCCTCACCATAGATAGGCAAACAAAAAGGTGTTGGGTGGTTTTCTGGCTGAGTTAATGTTTTTGAATGGAAGGGTATATCGGGGACATGAAATTATGATTGACATGAATGCTCGGTTCAAGATTAGTATCTCATATTCTCAAGCTTGGAGAGCCAAATGTTATGCCTTGGAATTGTTGAGGGGGTCACCAGAAGCATCGTTTGCCCAACTGCCGGCTTATTGTCACAATTTAAAGCTGAAAAATCCTGGGTCGGTAACTCATATCAAAACAGATAGAGATGGACGCTTTGAGTTGCTGTTTATCGCCATTGGTGCTGCGATTAGTAAATCATTATAATTTTGTTGACTCGTTTTTGTTAGTTGCATGCATTTCACATTTAAATGATTATATTTCTTGTGTATATGATTTTGTAGATTCGTTTGTTACTTGCATGCGCCCAATTATTATAGTTGACGGAGCACATTTGAAAGGTCGATACCTTGGATTAAACTTATTAGCAGTAGCCATGGATGCTAACAATGGGATACTGTCAATAGCTTACGGGTTTGGCAAATCTGAAACATCTTATTCATGGACATGGTTTATGGGGAATCTTAGGGATTGCATAGGTCCTATTAGCAATCTGACAATCATATCCGATAGGGCAAACTCAATTGACAACGGTGTTAGAAGGTGTTTCTCATATGCTTTTCATGGACTTTGTGGTGTTTATTTGTACAGAAATCTAAAATCAAGGTCTACTGGTATAAAAAATCACAAATGAACATACTGGAAGGCTATAAAAGCTTATCGGGAAGTGGATTTTAATAAGCATATAAATTGTTTAAGACGCGTTTTGCCTCAATGTGCTCAACCACTAGACGATGTCGGGTTTGAAAGATGGTCAAGAGTACATCAACTTGGAGCAAGATATGGTTTCATGACGTCTAATAGTGCAGAATCAATTAACGCTCTAAGTCGTCATTCCCGGAAATTACCCATTACTATGTTAATGGAGTTTTTTCGAGCCTCTATTCAACAGTGGTACTACAAGAAAAGAAACCATGCAGGTATTATTTATTTAAATTTGTAACTTATCATATATTTTACTAAGTATTATTTATTTAAATTTACAGGAACATTGGAACGTCGTGTTACACCATGGACTGAAAAAAAAGATAACGAAACGTGTTGTGAAGTCAACGTCCTGGAGAGTTGAACCATGTTCAAACACTTTGCTTGAAGTATTGGATAATAACTTAAATGGGCTTGTCGATCTAAATGCAAAGACGTGTAGTTGTAAGAAATGGCAAACATCTGGTTATCCGTGTGGCCATGTTATAAAAGTTGTTCTTCATCTAAACCAAGATGATTCAAGCGCATACGTTATGGATTGCTACACTACAGAAGTATATCGACAGACTTATGCCGAGATTGTCTACCCATGTCCACATCCTTCTGAGTGGGACATACCAGATGACTTACAAACAGTTTTGCCACCAGTCATGGACAGCAGGCTACCTGGCCAACCAAAAAATCACGACCGTAT